AAATTAAATGCAATGAAAATAAACAAAACATCGATCACACTAAAATCAATTTCACTTAAAAAGTATCTTTCTTTTTCTGGAAACATATTTTATGATGAAATTGAACATCAATCATGGAAAAAAGAAATTGATGGAAAAGTTGCGTAATGGCGTGATTTCAAAATTTCTTTTGCAAATCAAAGTTAAGAATTAGCAGGGAATTCTCCAAGTTTGCAATGAACACTGATATTGTGAATGCCTGACAATAATGTGAATACCTAACCAAAATTTTTATTGATTAATAATTACTGAAAATGATTTTAGCTTTATCTGGAGCTTAAATGCTAATCTAATACTTGAAGCGAAGATGGAATTGAAGTCCTTCTAAAAGACTGCAAAAATAATGTCAGTATTCGGATTCTGGCTAGAAATGAAGAACTGGATCAGTGACAATAAGTTTTCAGAAGCGCTTTTGTCCCATCTTTTATTTTTGATACCAATTTATATCAAACTCACTACATGTTCATGTTTATACATGATTATGATATAGCGATGTACTTCAAAAATAATTTCCCTCTTCGATAATTATTCTTTTCGGTATGTGTGTGTGTATGTGTGTGTGTGTGTGTGTGTGTGTGTGTGTGTGTGTGTGTGTGGGTGTGTATGTGTGTGTGCATGTATGCATGCAAGAGTTTTGTGCATAGCTGGAATTCCTTAGCATCGAAGAACCGGCTCTCAGACTCTATTCTCTCTCGGAAAATTACACATGCTGAATGATTTTCTAAAGTTCTCTTCTACCATAACATTTCTTCCTTTCTCTCTCTTTTCCACGTCCTCTCTCTCCCTGCTTCATTTATTTGTTTTAAAAATTCCTGAAATTTTTCTATCTCCCCGAAACTACCATTTTCATAAACTTTTTTGTGCAATTGCTTTGAAGTTAGCAGCAGTGTTATTGGCGAGCTGATTATTTAATGTTTTAAAAATTCCTTTTTTAAAAAATTGCTACTAACTTTAAAGCAATTTTTTTCCACGCGTCATTGAAGACATAAAAGTGTGATATTTGCTAGGAAAATATTGTGTTAAAAAGAGATAAAGGACTGTTTACTGTAACTTATCATTATTGTTCTTTGAGAAAGTAGCCCGAAGTATTGTGAAGATTTTTATTGGAATTACCGAAATTTAAACAAAAAAAATCCTCATAAATTAAGGAGTTAAACGAGAAGATGAAAGGAATGATTTCTTAACTATTCATGAAGACAATCAAATTTGTCTCATTTGTTATCAATCTTTTTATTTTGCTTACATACTTTTTTCCACTCAATCACATTATCGACTGGTAATTCCTTCCTCTTTTTTTTCTCTCTCTTTTTGTCTCTTAAAATGATCGTCGATTGATTAAATGTTTCTTTTTGTTGCTCTAAAAATTTTTCAGCACAAGTCAGTTTGGAATGATACCATCATTTCCTTGACATTATCATTCATTCTTCACGATGGAAAAGTTACTATTTTCCTGAAAATTCTACTGAATTCCTGTCCATCATTATCTCTCTAATCTGCTAACAATGCTACATCGTGAGAAACCAAAATGGGAATATCTCAAAATTGCATTCCTAATCATTACTTATGATTATGTCAAATGCTATTAATAACCTTCAATTTCATTCACTCCTTTGTTTACAACTTCAAAGGAAGCGAGCCTTTCTTTCTCTCAACAACCGGTTGAAACAAAAAAAAAATTTTTCTTCATGAAAGGTGCTGTTTATTGTCGCAGCAGCACATAAATATTTCACATTGGCATGTTCCATCGATTCATTCCACTCTTATTTTTTTTTGTCTTTTTCTCATTTTTGATCATTATCAAAGAAATATGTCGCATGCTATCCGCACTAAAATGTGTCATTCATCTACATGATATGATATGATATATGACTTGACATGTTTATATGTATATATACATATTTCTGTTCATTAAATTAACATATACCAATTTATTTACCAATTTACTTATCAATTTATTTGCCTATTCCATTGTATATATTTGTGCTCATCCTATTTATAATATCTTTTACTTTTTACTTGTTACTCTTTTTGTGATTTATTGTCGTAAAATTTTTCGCAAAAATAGAAGAAATAGCGGTTATGTCTTCTTTCCATTGCCAATTTCAAATTATTTGCTGGGCAATTAAATTTGGAATGCGGGAGCATTAATACATTTTTTTTCTCTCTCTCGATTGCTTGCTATTTAATGAGTGAGCCAACAGTTCATTTTGGTAAAATGATCAATGTTATCTGTCTCTTTTTTCTACAATAGCGGAAATAGATATGGTAAATTTAAGATTAGCTCTTTTTTTGGATATAACTAAACGATGCAAATTTTTCTCTATTAGGTCTCGAGATCTCGAGAAAAAGAACCTTCAAGCAATAAATTCGTTTGGGAATGTGCAACAGTGATATAATCTATTATTCTCGATGCACAGGTAAAGAGCACATAAGATTATTCTCGTTTTCTCTCTCGAACTTAGCCTTTGTAACTCGAAAAGCCTATTTAAAAACTTTATATTTCGTTGTGAGAATAAAATTAAGAAATCAAGCAAACGAATTTGCTGCTTCAAGGTTATTTTTCCTTTTTTTTTAAAAAAAAAATATTAATAGATACTTTACAAGCAATTGTTGAGTTTCGACGATTGACATTTTCTTGCCAATGAGTTGATGTGATTCAATTTCATCTTTTAAATTCTCAATTTTTTAAGATTAGTGCCACAACTATTCTTTTATTAATCAAATATTACGCTAACTGACTGCTTTTGTTAGATTAATGATTTGTTTTTAAATTTGCGATTTTCTCATACAGAAGGTCAGAATTATAGGAATTACTGTGAATAATTTAAAGTGTAAAATGCATTTTTTTAAGTTGATTATTTAGATTTTAATAACTTTCACAAGAATAGATCATTTTAGATAAGAGTGGTAATTTATTTCAACTTTTTGTTTTCAGATAATTTAAGATATGGAATTCATTTTTTCAGTTATATATTTTGATATAAAATAGTAAATAATTCAAGGATTCAAGTATATATCGAGGAAATAATTATCAAAAACTCAAATTATTATTTTAAAAGTGAAAGTCGTAATATTTTTCTAATTAAATTGCTACTTTCTTACAATCAAGATTGTCATTTTATCATAAAATTGCATAAAATTTTTTAAATTCTTAAAATCTCTAAATGAATTTGAAACAATGATAATAAATGATGGGATATTTCCAACGAGAAACTTGACATACTGACATACACTTCAGTAGAGCATTTGTGAATTCACAAATCTTTCATTAATTATTTCGATTAAATTGGAGAGCATTCCATATCTGGAACTGATATCCTTCTTAATTAATTTCTTCATTCATCTTTATTTATACATCGATAAATTTTTCTGCATAATTTATTTAGTTAAATGAATTGTTACTAAGCAGTAGTTAATAGTTGCGCCAAAGTGTCATTGTGGTTATATTGTTTGCTTTCTTTCTCGATGAAAGATAATCTTCGAGAGAAGATAGTATCCAAATGATATTTTTACTTAATTATTCCTCAAAAAAATAATTATTTGCAATGACGATATCATTAAACACCTGAGAATATTACTTGCATTTATTCTCATTTATTCTGTCGTCTATCTTTAATGGAATCTTGTGTTTTCGGGAATGCAGGAATTAGATATTGAAGTGGAATGATTCCGAACAGAAAAAAAGGGATATGTTTGTTCAAGGTTGTGTGGGGAATGTGGAAGGAGGGGCAAGAGGAGGAGGTGGAAGAGTTAGTTGATTCATTTGACCTCGAATAGCTATGGCATACCACCGAAATGTCATCTCCTTCCTGACCTGTCACTTTGCTTTCTCCTCTTCCGTTCGACTGATTCCTTTCAAAATTAATTGCTAGTTATTTGCAGATATTCGTCGGCAAAATCATTTCTAACTTTTTACGAATTCAGTTTTGTAAATTCTGCTTCTAATTCTTTTCAAGATCTTATCTGAATTATCGTTCCACACCATTACTGTTTAAAGCTATCGTTTTTTATCGATAACAAGTCGAAAATTTTTAAATATTTCTCTCTGTTTATTGTTTTTACAGGTTTCTGTATACTTTCAGATCGAATTATTAATTCAGATTTTATCATCTGATTATTAATGACCTACTTAATTACAAACCTATTTTCTTGCATTTTACTTCAATTCATCCTGATGAGTCAGAGAGATATCATAAAGGAGAAACAGTCCACATAAATTGTAAATCATAATAATTTCTTAGATTGAAGTTGCAATGAGTTGAATATTGAGGTATTGTTTTATCTCAGATCAGACAGCTATGTTTACAAAGCTGTCTCTCAAAGTGTTTGAGTTCCACAGTTCCATTCAGAATATATAGTATCGCTGAGTAATTTCGAAAAGAATTCAATCTATTTTAAATTTATCGATTAAATGAAGAATATGCTGTTAAATGATGATATTAAGTTCTGAATGCATGTTTTTTTTTTGTGTCAAAGTGATTTGCATTCAAATATTGAACGAAAAATTGACAGAAAAGTGTTCGAACTGTTAAAAAAAAGTTTTTTATTCTTTCATTATTATTATCCTCAAAACGTTCATTTCTTTTGAAAAAGTGACAGTTGGAATTTTCATTGTGTCATTCCTGAAGAAAATTGAAAAGTGTCATAACTGTAACAAATATTAAAATTATTTGGGATCAAATCAAAAGAGTAAACAATGCTAATTTATTTCTTATTTTGTCACAATTATTTTCATTTTTAAAAAGTATACCATTTGTTTACATTCAGACTTTACGCGTAAGACGTTGATATAAGCTTTTCCCAATTTTGTTTATGGTATTTGAGATGTAAATATTTTCTGTCAGTTGAATGGGGGCATATTTGAGTGATAAAAACGTCGATTTGAGAGAGATGATAAAATGACACAAATAATTATCATTCTATCATTATTGTAGTATTATCAAAAAGAAAACAAAAAAGTGATGACGGAAAGTGATGAAGTGAATTCATATAACGGTTCCAGTTCCTGTTGCTCTTCTCGAATACCACCTCTAAGTGATTCGGAGCAACGCCTATCTGAACCGGATGGACCGAATCACAGTTCCGAGAATGTTCATCATTTCAACAGTGATCACGTAAAAGTTATCCCATCATTGCATACAACAATTCCGTCTGGTTATAAATATCTACAGGTGCAAACTCTCACAAAGGAGACTATCACACTTGCTGTACATGTTAGTATTTTATTTTCATGCTATATTTGAGGAGACTATTGAAATAATAAGGAAATATGAGTTCTTTCAACGTTTAGCTAAATTGAACTGAATCAAACTTTTTAGATCATGTTTCTTTTAGCGTGAATACTTACGGTAAGTATATGAAATTACTTGCTAATTTTAATTGATTATAAATTAAGCATTCTTCTGTGAATTATTTAGATTACCTTTACTTTTCACGAAAGAGCTACGACATACTTAACAGATTTAACCAAAGTTACTCATTTTCGTTTAGTCAGTTACGCTTACTATCGTTTATTATGATGATATCATAAGAAAATAATAAGGAACATTTGCTCTCTTCAATGAAAATAAGATATGTATATGATTTCTTCGTGACAGTGTTGATCCTTTGCATCAAATTTTATAATTTAGTTTAACAAAATAAAACAATTATTTCAATTTTGCAATTAATTTATGGGAAAAAAATATTTCTTTGAATTATTATGAGAGATAATGCTACGCAAAAGATAATAAACATTTTTTTCACTCATTGATGATGCTTATTTACACGCACCCTGTTGTTGTTGTTGAAATGCGATTGCTGATACAATTAGGCCATTATAAAATAAGTATATCAAAATCATCGGCAATAAATAGCTTCCACTTCATTCAGTACTTCTTTTATTATCGATAATCAAAGAATTTCATGGAATCATTTCTGATACAGACATATCCATTAAAGAATAATCTAATTTAAAGTGACTAAACTTTAAATAAATCCTTATTTTTTGATTTTTATACTATGATTTAAAAAAAAATCTATGAAAAAATGATTTTAAGATGAAATGTCGTGTGGAGGATGCATATTTATGCTGTTGTGCATATCTTGGCTTTGACGAGGAAAGATTGTTTGGCTTGGCGCTTCGAACACCCTCGGAAGGTATCGGTGGTGATCGACCGAGAAATGAATATTTTTTTTTGGATCCAAATCGAAAAATAGCAAAATATGCTCCCAAACAGTGGAAAATATCGCATGCATGGGTTGGTGAAAATTATAATTCGAAATTTTCAAATGCACACGAACATATCAGTTAAACTTTACAAGTCCATCATTCAGAATACGGAAGAATATGAGATGTAGCGACTGACCTATTTTTCTCATTTTCATTGGGGTTTTACTTTGGATCTTCCAAGACAGAATAACCAGCACTAAAAAGGAGGAGCTGTTACAATTAACTCATATTAGTTGTTATACATTTAACATTATTTTAGATCACTCTTTCAGCGACACTCCCATTTGAAGAAGCCGATTTTTAAACAAAATTTGAAGTAATTTGTAGTTGCATTATCCTTGACCTTATCTTCAGTGGTGCTATCTGTCCTTAAAGTTCACAAATTCCAAAAAAAAAAAATTTTTAGTCGCATTAAACTTGGAAAACATTTAAGCATCTTAGATATCATCCATTTAGTTACTTTTCATCTTTTTAAAAGTTAGGTATGATATCGTGTAATAATAGATGTAAATTAATCAATCGTCATCATAGTGAAAGTAAAGGTCAAATTAATTTTAGAATGCTGTTGTTGAAAGTCGCCCATTTTTGGCTCTTCATCTTCGAGTTCGCATATTTGTGGATAAAGCATATGTAATTGGGTGAGTTTGACATCCATCTTTTATTAAATTACAAATAATTAAAATATTTATTGTTTTTTAACAATGTAATCATGCTTAATATTGATCTAACAGATCATCGGGAAGTAATTTTATTAGGTCATAGACTGTCAATTAAAATATTTATTGTTCTTTTTAACAGTGATCGATATGTAAATGCATTAAGCATCGATATGTAAATGCACATTTTAACAGTGATCGATATGTAAATGCATTAAGCATCGATATGTAAATGCAAATTATCGTAGTCTATGTAAGCAAATAATAACAGATTCATAAAGTTCATAAGATATGAAACAAATTTATGAAATCATTTTGCAAAAAAAAGAACTGACCTATATGATGTCAGATAAATACCATCGGTTTATAGTAACAGAAATACTGAATTAAAAATTCTTTAAGTCTGGAATTTAAAATATTTTTTTGTTAACATTTGCTAGCAAGCATAGATTTACAGATGCACTACAACCCTCAGGTATTATTATTTGCAATTGCGCGAAAATCTCTTAGATCAGTGGTCAGGTTCAAATTCAGTTGCTGAAGAGCGCTGTTGGGAACTCGCCGCATTAGCACTGCATGCTGATGAAAATGGCAATGATCTGTTGTAATTATTTTCATCTAATTTCTGTGCAAAATCTAATCGAAATCAAGCATTTGGTCAAAAAAAATTTTGCCATCAAAGATACTTAAAAGTATTTTTGATCATTAGGGAAATAATTGATAAATATTTTATGCACTAATATTTGATTACATGCATTTACGAATATTTAATTTAGTTACTCCTATTGATTATTGTTTTAAATTTTTCAATTTTTTGCAGTCAATAGCTTTGTATAGTCCAATCGGAACTCTCTCCAGTAGTATTAGTTAATACCAGCTTACTTTTATTTTCAAAAATTTTTGCAGATCTTTCCGAGCTGAGCGGTATTTTCCTCTTTGGGTGGTGAACGTTCATGGTCTCGATTTTGTGCGACGTAATATGCCCGCGGTTCGCGAAGATCTCAGAACATGCTCAAGCAATGATGCAGTAATGGAATATTGTCAACAAGCTTCTCGGTGGGTTTTATTCTTCATTGCATTTTTCCTAAATTATTAGATGTAGATGTTAAGTTGTAAAAAATTCATTACACGATAACAATTCGCCGCATTATAATATACTTAAAGTCACATTATTATCAGTTATCACAATTTGAAATGAGTGATATAACAAATCCTTAATCATTCATGATCGCAATTTAATATGGCAAAAAAAAAAAATGCAATTGCAGACCGCCGTTCGCCTTGAACTGTCACTTGTATGGATTACGAAGGCATAAAATGGATACATTTGATAATGCAGTTATTGGAATTAGTCCAAAGTAATCTTCTTTTTTTGAAATAGATTATTATAGAAATTCTTTCTTTCTGTGTAATATTTCAAATTTTCAAAAAAAAATCAAAACTTCTAAATATCTTCCAGAGGGATCGAAACATCAGATGTAGGCAATGATGGAGAGAGAATTCCGCTCCGTAAACTACAATGGAATCGGATAGCAAAACTGAGCTTTGATAAACGAAAAGTGACAATAACTGGCGTGGATGGCGTGAGCTTATCGTTGTATGCTCAATTTGAGGATAAGGCTCGCTATTTGTTAGAATTTTGCAAAGCTTTCCATCAAGCAACCATGTTTATCAACAATCAATTTGCATCTCGCCAAAACCATTCCAGTTAGTTATATTCCAATTTGAAATTTATTAAATTTTATCCTTCATTCAATCTTATTGGTTTCACTTAATTTTCTTCCGGAATCAGCAAATTTTAAAGTTTTAAAGTTGTTAAATATTGATCAGTGCAGGAATTCAATAAATGCTGAGTTAAAAATGCTATGAAAACAAGATGTACATTTTACATATACTTTTATTCCGTACTTGTATATTCACAGTTAATATCATTTTGCGCCAAAAAAATATGTTCAAATAATTTAACTTAATATCAACTTTAAAAACTCAATGATATATTATTTGGTTTTATTTAGCAAGCATGAATTCGCCGCTCTTCTGCAGTGATGATCGTTGCTTAGATGATGCGCTTTATTCTCGACGTTCGCTTAATTCACGTGCTTCTAGTAATAGCACATCAGGAGTTGTTTCCGATAAATTAGGAAGCGAAGCCGATAAAGGTAATTTTTTTAATAATTTATCATTTGGAAGAAATTATCTTCAATTTCTTGAAATATTACTTAATAATTGCGCTAATTGATTGATGAAATTCCACAAAAACATTTAATAGGAGTAAGTTATGATCATAGTTTAATGAAGAATCAACTAGTTTATTTCGTAGAATGACTGTTCTCGAGCTGGGAGGGAGTAAATGTTGCAGATTGTGAGTGGACTGATACTTGCGGTGTTGCATCAGATTGTTCATGTGAAGAAATACAACCTTTTACGGTAGAAGATCTTACCGGAGAGTTGGAGAAGACATCGATTCATGCACTTCCTGAAGTTGCTGCCAGTGCTGAGGATGAATCAACAAGTACAGAGAGTGACACTCTCGGTAACCATCGTCCCAATACTTCCTCGTAAGCTCTTTTGTAATTTTTATTAGCACTATCTTTCTGGATTTGGTGACAGATATTCTGGTGGATTCATAATTACAACAAACCTGAAGAGTTTTCTAAATAAAAAAAGCATTTTTTGCTTATTTCTTGATTGCTTGAAACAATACATTCCACTGCACATGTCTTATTATAAAGGAGCGCAAACTGGCACTATTGCTTTCATCTTTGCTTATTTCTGTATGTGAAGAATTCTTGCTTTCATTTCAATTATTGACATCTGATAACGATTTAATATTATAATGGAATTATGAAATAAGTTGTTTACAGGCGAAGTAAAGAAGCAAATTCATCAAAAAAGGTTACTGAAGCAACAGATGAAAAGACGATTTCCGCCTCTTCCGATAGCTTTGTTACGAAAAATGCACTTCATGCAGAAGAAGTGAGTTATGTTTCTCTAAAGTTATGTTGACATTTTTTTACGATTTAATATTACAACGGAATTATAAAATAAGTTGTTAGAATTCTTGAAATAGATTAAAATGATTATTCCTCAATATCTGATACGAAATGAATTATTAATTTCTGATTCTTCATTTAGAAACTGATAAGCTGACAAAGGCTGTAATTTCTAAGGAGGAGTTTTTAACAGTTGTGTGATAAAAGTTGCATTAGATTTGACAACTATTAGTATAAAATTCAGATGCAGAATAAAGATGGAACGGAAAATGCCAATAACATCTTAGAACCCATCTTAAAGAAGCGATCATTCACGGAAAGTGACACAAATAATGGTGCAAATAGTATTGTTTTGCCAATGATTCAAGCAAAAGTGAATTCTTGCAGTCAGAAGGTTTGATAAAATTTACAATTTGGTAATATTATTATGGAAACTCCAATCTTGAAGCTTAATAATCTCTTATGTGATGACATATTTTCGTAAAATATTTTTGAAACTTAGTTATTTGGTCGTATTCATTTTTCTTCTTCCTTTCTTAATTAAATTTATTTCATTTTAGGATTATTGCGATGAAACAGAAAGAAGTGAATTAACAATGGATGTGATCTTAAAACAACCTCCACAGTACAATGAAAATCTAGAAGCTTTTCACACACAAAATAAGCTTCAAATTCCATACCATCGACCAAATCCAAATCCAAATATGAAGCCAAGATGGATTACTGTGGCTGGTGTTAGTTCTTCTGGACCTGCTGTTTCATGTCCACTTGAAACATCCACACATCTTACTTGTTCCGAATCGAAACTTCATTATCAAGTATTTAATTTTTGATAATTTTCGAAAAATAGATTAGTTTTACTGAAATAAATTTTGAACATAACTTTAGAAAAACGAGCAATTTTTTACTCATTTCTTCAAAATTTAATTGATAAAATAAGTTTATTGATTTTATTATTGCATAAAACATAATACTGTTACATTTTTTATAATGAATTTATTCTCTGTAGATGTATACGAGATCGGGATCTCCGTTAGCATCAATGCCTACTACTTCATATCAGTTGCCAATAGCAGGATCATCATCGCGTGCTTCACCTTCGTATACACCACCTATTATACGTGCAGGTGCAAGTGGTGGCTTATTTCAAAAACGTCATGAGCAGCGTGTACCGCATGGCATCGCTGTTCGGGGAATTAACCGTGTACAAAGTATGCCAGCACATAACTCACAGCATTATGTTGATGATGTAAGTCTTCCATTATTTTGAATATGTTAGTTAGAGTGGAAGAATTGCCGAATTTTCTACAAATTTTTAAACTAATTATGCATATATGAAAATTTTCCTCAGAAATCCTAAAGTTAAGCCAAAGATTTGTCTCTTCCTTTTTTAAAGCTTATAAAATTGACGTAATTAAAGGATGAGCTGTCAATGCCATCATCAGCTGCAACTTCATCAATTAAGCATTCACGATCGTCGCCGGGAACACGATTTTCTGTTTTTACAAAACAGCCACCTCCTTACGAACACGCCGTTTCGCAGGTTCATTCTTAATTATTTGAATGCCAATTAGAAGTTTGCAAGAACGAACCGATAAATCTAATGTAAAAATCTGATTAAAATTAAGACGTAATTTAGATCTCTCGTCATTAACTTCATTATTCGATTTTTATTTATCTTAACTTTTCAAAAAATTTAAAAAGTTATAAATTTTTATTTATAGCAAGCACGTACACGTTATGCACAGAAGAGTACGGTAATATGCCCATCACATCCAAATAACGCACCGAAAGATGTTTTATCTCAGAGAAATTCATATACCAATGATCATGAAGAAATGACTTTGAATAGTCGTATTCGTCAATATCCAATGATGAGAGCTCTGTGGCAAGAGCATCAGCAAGGTAAGTGAGAATGAAATTTTATAAAATATAATATGACTTCTTAATAAATAATCAGTAGAGTTTTAGATTTTGATAAGATAAAAGAATTTGAAATCGAATTAAAATAGCTTCCGCATAATTGAATTAAACCAGCACTTTGCATAATTTTACGAAATAAATCAGACTTTTCAGGTTCTTGTGCTCAATTAGCAACAAACTCAAATTCGACTTCTTCCATCACTCGTGGTGTACCATCTGCATCTAATCCAATGTTATCCTCACTGAACGCAGTATTGGATGATTCTACAACAAACGATTCACAGCTACAGCCACCATCTTCATGTCAGGAGCTTTCTTCATCTGTGTTGGTTACAGTATCGCCACATTTAACCTCAACCATTTACGATTCTCGACCAACTACAGCATATACATCACGGCCATCTACTACTTGGGCACCAGTTTATCATCGAGAACTTTATGTACCTGATCTATCACCACCATCCTGCTGCTATTATTCACCGTATGCTGCTGGTCGAAATCAGATAAGGTAAATAAATGTCTTCATTTTCCAACACTTTCATCTCATTTTATCGATGACTAATCGTTATCATTCTGAATCATATCAATGAAAGCCATAACTATGCTGGTTCTTTACTGTTTACTAGTGTGGGTAGTTGTTTGGCTCATGTGGCAGGATATTCCAGTTCTAATTCTGGTTAAGCTTACAGGCGGTCCTTTATCGCTGTTTACAACTTACCGTAATACTGATATATCATAAAGGTTTTGTAAATTTTATAACACATTAACTTCGAATTCCTAAAGACTAATATCAGATGAAAATACTTCTGCCTCTTATTTTTTACGGTAATGTTTCTTCTGACAGCACAATAAGTGTTTTGCTCGGTAGAGATCCCTGCACTATCAGTATTCCTGTATTTCTGTGGATTATAAAGAATAGAAAGAAATGATCGTATTGTATCGTTCGATCAACTTGTATTACATTATAAAAGCAAATATAAGAAACAAATGCAAATAAAGAATTGGATTTTGAATCTAAATTTCATTGACTTCGACTTTTTCATGCTAAAAAATTCTACTTACTTTATCGTGGAATGCTTGTTTGGAAAATTTCCCACTTAGGAAACATTGCAGTTGGTGAGGTATTTTAGATTAGGCTCATAGTGACTTCAGCCAAAAGTTCTTAACAAGACTTGCAACTTTGGAATTACGAGCAGACAAAAACACTACTTAGTCACATTGCCTTTTGTAGCCCTTTCGCATAGTTTCAACATTTGCAGAGCAGGACGAGCCGTCCGAGACAATGAGAAGTCGCAAAAAGGTGGATATACTTGTCCGCTGATACCAGTGAGTGAGGAGTGCATGCTTGTCTAAGACAAATCTCGAAATTTCAAGAATTCGATTAAAAAAGACCCTTAAATTTGCATCTATTTCCTCTATTCTATAGCTCTTGCTACTCTACATATATTATTTACATTCAGTTGGATTATGTCACATTCGGTGTTGGATTTGCCACCGCCGCCGCCCTATCCGCCACCGCGATGTCCACCTTCACCTTCGGCAGCAAACAATGCACAAATGGTTGCTTGAAAAATGGTTCCGCAAATGGTTGCTTTACGCAATTTTTTTCATTGTTGATAATTTTTACAAAAAATTACAATTTGTTTCATCGTTAGATCTTCTGAAAGGATGTATGTGTAATTTGTACTTTGAATTTCAACTCCTTATGATCGTCGTTTATTGTTTCTTAATTTAATTGATGTTCAATTTAGGATAAAAAGAAGGAATTATCGGAATAATAAATCAACTTTTCTGCTCATATTTATTCAATGTGACCGGCTTAAACTTAGTTGAATTTCTTAAGAACTTATTAAATCATACTGATTATGGTGCAGATTTTGATTTCCGAACTTTCTTCTTTCATATTTAATATATATTCGACGAGCTGCCTCATTCTGAGACCATTTTTTGCAGTAACAATTTTTTTGCTTCCCTTTTACTGTTGATTTATTGTCTTGTTGTGGAGTAGATCTTTCTTCCGTTTCCATCCCTTCTTTCTAGAATATGTAAATTTATGGAGGAAAATTCATACTGAATCAATGGTTAAGGTTAAGTAAGTTAACCGTTCACTTAATTTTAGACCAATAAAATCGCTGAAGCGATTATACCAGTTTCAAATTAAAACTTTCTTTCGATGCTAACAACCTAGAAATAATATAGTAAGAAGTGCCATATTATTTCTGGGTTCTTAGCCTCGAAAGATCACCGCAATCTTTGATAGCTTGGAATTTTTTTTAAAGGGATGTAAAATAAGTAAGAAAGAGCTAATCATCCCCAAAGTTTAATGTGCCACATGTTTGATGCTGCCATTATTTATGGTCAAATATCATCAATTTCTTTTTTCTCTTTGAATGTACGATTCCATTTCTATTTCAATTTCATTTCTTCCACTTTCCTTCTTTTTCTTCTTACTTTTATCATTCCTCTTCTCTTCCTTTTTCTTTTTTGTTTCAAGCCATCGATTATTTGAATAGATTTTTTAGATGCGTAGAAATTTTAGAATTCTTTAATTTAATGGAATCAGACATGCATTTTATATTCATATTTCGTTAATGTATATTCATTCGATTCATTTTCGTGAATAATTTGTCTGTGATGTTCTCTTTATCAATCAATTTATAGTTGAGTAATAAAATATTGTCGTTTCTGTTACCATGCAAATTAATTGATACATATTTTTTATTTAATTTGGTCACATCGCTGTATTTCTTGGAAAGTTAGTGTATTTTTACGACATTTGCTGAAGACAAACGAAAAAAGGAAAAAGAGAATCATTTTTAGATTAAGAAGCTCAGCTAAAGCTAATTCAATAATGCTAAGGAAAAATTGTAAGTAACTTTGAAGTACCACGGAAATTTTGAATCAAATTCAGCCATCAAACGGAGTTTATTATACTGCGTATTAAAATATCTCATCGAATCAAACGCGTTCATCCATCACGTTTGGTTATCAGCTGACACATTAATTTTTTTTGTTGAATTTAAACTGGAGATTTTGATTCAAATCACTTGGATGGAAAGATTTGAATAAAGCTTTTTAATTGTTTTTCATCAAACTTTTCCTAAGACTTTGAGATTTCTTGGATTGAAATGGCTGAAATAAACAGTGGTGCATTAAGAAGGGAATTATGATAATATTGACTTAATTCTAAAAAAAAATAACTATGAACATCACTATCAAAAAACAAATGGCATTTATTCGATGCATTAGTGCATTAGTTTTTAAGGATTTCAAAGCATTAGAGCTTTGAATTTTAGTCAACATCATTTTTATACTTCCTTCAAATTTTGAAATTTATTTCTTCAACAATTGTTATTTTACTTGATAAATGGAATGAGTAAGTAAATCTCTGTAAATAAATTATTTGCTCTTCACATTGTACCATTGACCTCTCATCTCGAAATTATCAAATTTGTTATCACAACGTAATTATTTGTACTTTAAGTAAGTATTGTTTTGCTAAATACGTGTTTTTTTTTCTTTTTTAAAGCGAAGTTTTATTTTCAAAAAAAAAATGTTTTAAAGAACGTTAATAAAATATTAAATATAATTTTTGATTGTAAATGTTTTATTTGCGTCTACATTGGTGACTTAGAAGAGGAATGAAAAGGTCGCAGTATTGATTTGCTTTAGTATTGACCCCATCTTCTCCTTTTACGTCGTATTTAACGCTACTATTTGTTATTAGACGTACTTAACTTACAATCATATATTGGCGCACTTAATTCATCAATGATAATGAAAATTCATTTTTCAGCTCGATATTTTTAATGTTTGTTTTCCTCAAATCTAACGTAAAATAGGCTATCCACCAGTTTTCTCTTTTCATGTATTGATGACAACGAATTTATCTTATGGTTTTTTTTCTTTTTTATATGATTAATTTGTTTAATATTCCAAAATATTCTGTAAATCTTTGAAAAACAATTTATATCTTTCATTTCTCATTATGCAAAAATTTGATAGAAGAGCAGATGAAAAAAAAAAGTTTGATGGTGCTGATGTTGCATATGTTTTTACAGATGTAGAAAATGTAAGATGCAAAATAATAAAATACAAAGAATGAAAAAAATGAGGAGAGCATGAATTATTAGAAATTCTTGAATAGTTTTTTTTTTATTTTTTTTTTCCTGACGAAAGTTTAAAAAAAAAATTTCTGATTGATTATTAAGTAAGTTTTAAAAAGTTTGACAGTTATGTAAAATTTTTAAACATAAATAATCAAATATGTTGAAGAGAAAATCAGCAAAAAGAAACTGACATATTCAGATATCAATCAGTTATAAACTTAACGGATCTTTTATATATTTTAACATTTGGAAAAAATATTAGTGATTTACTGTAAATGAAGCAATCATTTCAGTAATATGAATCTCTTTTTATAAATGGAAATAATGTTTTTATAGCGAGATTTGTTAGCTTTATAAACTATTTGATGACATATATATTTAACAAGATCCCTAAAATATTGTTAATATGGGAGGGAAAGGAAAGTGAGTTGCTGAGCACTTCATATCTTTTCATAAATTAGCAATTAATTTTTCCCTCATTTCAATGTTTCAAAGTAAATTTATTTTTGTGTATGATACATTTCAATGCTTTTTACTTAATCTCACTGATTTCATAAAAATTGTGAAATCAATGAGATTAAGTAAAAAGCACTGAACTTATATTGTTTATTAATTATTTCTCAGTTCCTTTCTTCAAGGCTTCAAATCTCTTCCGTTTCCATTACCGCACTTGTTGACATTGTTTCTCGTCAATAATTAAAATTTCGTGCAAAACAGTCAAGTTTCTTCGAAGAAAAAAAAATTATTTTTAAGTATGTGTTCAATAGGGAAAATTTTAACAGTAATTTCATTGTAAAAATTATGAGAAATTATCAGTATGGGTGAAAAAAGTTTTAAAAACTAAAAAGGAAAATCTTCTGTATTACGATCAAAGTTTATTGTACACAAAGCATTTTGTTAAATGTTTAGCACTCAAATTTTAACTGAAATACTAAAGAGATGTCTACATTCTTTGTCTAAAAATGCACCCTAAACATGATTATTTATGCAATTTAATACTTTATAACTTTTTTAACATTGAACAAAGTCTTTGGTCATTATTAACATTGATATGATAATTAGGTTTGATATTAAACCAGAGTAAACTGTGCTGATTGACTTAAGTATTAGCAAACGAGGATTAGAAAACAATTTCTGTCCCAATTCTTTTAGTGAAATGTTAAATATGCTTTTAATTTTCAATTTTAGCTTCTTACTGCTGCTAAAATTGTTGTTAAAGTTTAAGAGTTTTAATGATTGATGGTTAAAACCAGCCGAATAATCTAACAGGAGTATTACTTCTCAAAAAGAAAACAAATGAAATCATCTTTTAAATAACAGTTTGGCCGATGAGATTAATGATGAAAAATAAATGAATTTTATTTTTCCAAAAAAACTTTGCAATAATCGTTGCATATTCATAATATTGATGAAGATGGAAAACAGTCCTGAACTATCTGCAACAAAAGGCCCATAATATATGATAAGATTAAGCCAATTTGCAGTTTTCCGTGTAGCAATTATCCTGAACGAAAAAGATGTGCTAAAAGACCAAGGCCAAGAGTAATTCTAAATCGCAGTTGGACACAACCAGTAATTATAAGCCTGTTGAGCTAAACAGTAAGTAGGTCTCTGATAAATAACGATAGAAAGAAAAATTCATGAATCAAAATTCACACTAAACTAATCCATTTGTATTAGCATGAAAAAGAATTTCACAGTTTGGTTGGTCATATGAACATTTCGAAGTTAAAAAAAATTGAAATTGATTTTTTTTTGCTTTAATTTTGCAAAGTTAAATGTAAGTGATAAACGGAGTTTGTTTCTTAATTTGACTTTCGGAAGAAAAACAAATAAATGTAATTTTGTAACAAAGTATTACTCTCTTCCCTTTTTTAAAATGTGGTTGCAATTAACAACGAGACCTTAAATTAATATTTGAATCTCTTCTTTCAATTAACCATCAATTGATGATCCTAATGATCAAATGGGTTGAAGGCTAATTTTTAGTTGAAAGCAATTTGACTAATATTTTTATCTATAATATGATAATAGCAATTTGATCTGAAATAAATATTATGCTGATTGTAACGAAGCGCCAAAAGTTTAATTCCATCTCTTTGCCGGATGCTTATTAAACATTAAACAGGATGATGAGATATTCACCGGTCAATAAAATTTTATTTAACAATTCTTGGAAGAATAAATCTTAACTCAAACATCATAAAATGTACGCTTGTTTAACTTGGAAAATTACTAAATGAAAAATTAACAAGAAAAAAAAAATTTACAGAAATTTATAGAAATATCATTCAAATAGAATCGATAAATAACAGATATTTAATAGAATCAATAAATAAAAGCAGCAATTAAATTTGAATAGGAACTTCATTTGTGCAATATCATTTTACACAAAGAAAACCAAATTTGAAAGGTTGTGCCGCCGAGACTTCCGCTTAATCTTAATATTCTCTGATATGC